TTTTTTTTTTTTTTTTTGGCATGTGGATGTCCAGTTGTTCTAGCATCATTTGTTGAAAAGACTATCCTTTCTCCATTGAATTACCTTTGCTCCAAAGATCAGTTGACTATATGTTTGTAGCTTTATTTCCGGGCTCTGTAGGCATCTTCTACCTTTATTTGCTAAGTCTAGTCAGTTCCTTAGAAGCCTAGCAAAGGGAAGTAAAACAAAAGTCAAATGAGAAATTGTTTTGAATGAAAAATAGATTTTTAACTGTGGCTTGTGACATTTACAGTATGTATTTGTAAGTGTGTGTGTGAATACCACTTATCTAAGTACCTCCAGTGAAGCTGCTACAGAGTTTGAGCACTGTGGATCCAAATGCCTTGCTCCACACCGGTCCAAATGGTCACGTATTGAGTGGACTTAGAGCTCTGTAAAACTACTTACCATCAGTGTAGGGCAAAGATCTTCTAAGAATGCACATTCCAAAAAAAGTTTAAATGGGGTCAAGAGACTCAGAACACTTGTTGACTCAAATTAGAAAACACAATCTTAACCTGTTTTTTGAGGCAATATTGAATAGAGCTATTCTCAACAAGAGTAAGATGTGTTTGGGCATAGGCAGATATTGGGGAGATGATATCTTTCAAGAGGGGAGCAAGAAGAAAACCCAATAACTAGAGACTAAATTTTTAAACTTTCCAGATAAAGTACCTTGAGCTCTGTGATCAATTTCTTAATTTTTCCACTGATATCTCTTTATAGACTTGGGGCTCCAAAATCAGGCAGCCTGGGTTCAAATCCTGTTGTTATTATTTTTGGCAGTGTGGCCTTGATCAAGTTAAGAGCTTTCTCTTCCTAGGCTTCCTCATCTATAAAATAAGAATAATGATGGTTCCTGCAGTATAGGCTTGTTTTGAACATTAAATGAGATAATACACATAAAACATTGCAAACAGTACATGGCAGAAAGTAAGCTCTCTACAGGTATTAGCTATTAATTTCAACGTTATTATCTTAACTATAGTATTGTCTTAGTTATTTAGTGCTGCTATAACAGAAATACCACCAGTTGGTGTTTTTTTAACAAACAGAAACTTGATTTCTTACAGTCAGGAGGCTAGAAGTCCGAATTCAGGGCACTGCCTCTAGAGAAAGGCTTTCTCTCTCTGTCGACTCTGGAGGAAGTTCCTCGTCTTTTGAGCTTCTGTTGGTTCCTTGGTGATCGTCATGTGGCATGGCATCTGTCTCCCCCATCTTTGCTCTGCTGCTTGCTTGTTTAACCTCTTTTATATCTCAAAAGAGATTGACTAAGACACATCCTACACTAATACAGTCTCACTAACATAACAAAGAAAACTCATTCCCAAATGGAATTTTAACCAAAGACATAAGGGTAAGGATTTACAACACACATTTTTTGGGGACACAATTCAATCCATAACAAGTATAGACCCTATTCATTACAAAGAGGGCTCTTCCGCCAGGGTCCTGCTTGATATTTGTACAACTTTTCCTGCACTCACTCTCGAGTAAGCCAAATGTACATCTTTTGTTCACACTTTTTAAAAGCATACTCTTTAATTGTTGGTGCAAAAGTAAATCACAGATAAGTACATAGGAAATTGTAATGATGTTTGGAAGTCCCTGGGTGGAGCAAATGGTTAAGCACTCGACTAGTAGCTGAAAGGTTGGTGGTTCGAATTCACTCAGAGGCGCATCATAAGACAGGTCTGGCTATCTGCTTCTGAAAGTTCATAGCCTTGAAAACCCTATGGAGCACAGTTGTACTCTGCACACATGAAGTTGCCATGAATCGGAATCAACTCAATGGCAACTGACAACAGTGAATTTTGAAATTGTGAAATTCACAGGAATGAGGTTTATTCTAGAGCTCAATAATCATTAAATAGGTATGTAATGTTGGATATTAAAGGACTAGAAGACTGCTTTGTTACGTATTAACAGATATTGTGCAATTTAAAAATTTTCTAGGTTCCTTTATTTTGGTGCATTTCCTTTTTGTATTTCTTTATTTTCCCCTTTGCTAAGTTTTCCTATCTTCCATAGGCTGTGACTGCTGCTGACTTGGGGGTGTGGTAGTGTCAAGAGGGGAGAACTTGGCTTTTAGGAGAAACTTTGAAAGAAATAATGACAGTTGGCTGTTCAGGTAGAGAGATAATAGGCTACACTGCTTCCCTTGAGGAATTAAGACTTGCAAATGACTCAACTCTTATGAGTTCTGAATAAGGTGTTCCCTGGCTGGAGTACTTAGTTTAATTTTGGGATATCTTCTCTACTGCCCTGCCAAAACGAAAAGTAAAACCAAAACCAAATCCATTGCCACTGAGTTGATTCTAACTTATGGCATCCCCATATGTTACACAGTAGAACTCTCCATAGGGTTTTCTTGGCTGTAATCTTTATGGAAGCAGATCGCCAGGCCTGGGTGGGTTCAAACCGCCAAGCTTTCAGTTAGCTGCCCAGTGCAAACTGTTTGCACCACCTAGTGACCTTCATGGCCTCACCACTCCTTCCAAAAAAGCTTTATTTTGAACCTTTAGTGAGAGGGAGACAAGTCTTGGTAAGTTTACTGTTCAGTGGAGTGGGGCAGGAGAGCAGAGGGGTGTTGCTTTGGGATACTAAATGTCTAAGGGACTAGGTTTGCAGGAAAATGTATCTAGCAGGAAAGAGAAGTTTAAAGATTAATTCTATTGTTTAAAAACACTTCTGCTTTTTGCAGTGATCACAGGAGCAGGAGATGGGATTGGGAAAGCTTACTCATTTGAGGTAAGTTGTGTTCTTAGAGACTTTCACATCCCCTTGTATTGGACACATCATAGTCATTGGAACATCCATCTCCGAAACTAGGTTTCTGATTAGAAAAGTAGTATGCATTCATTTTAAGAAGGAAAATATTTTCTATAAAAATAGAGAAAAAAATTTAAATCATAACCTCATTCCTTGTATACCACTTTTTAATACAATAATACTCAAAGGAGAGTACCAACACTTAGGGGTTGTTTTAGGAATTTGTGGGGACATTATTATTTTCTAGTGCAATTGTGCCATAAGCATTTATATACTTAAACATGATCTTGTAAAACTTATAGACTACTTTCCTTTTTATTTCTCCTTACGTTATGTTGTTGTTGTTAGGTGCCGTCGAGTTGGTTCCGACCCATAGCGACCTTATGTACAACATAACAAAAACACTGCCCTGTGCTGTGCTGTGCCATTCTCACAATCATTGTTATATTTGAGCCCATTGTTGCAGTCACTGGGTCAATCCATCTCACTGAGGATTTTCCTCTTTTTTGCTGACCCTTCACTTTACTGATCATGACGTTCTTCTTCAGGGACTGGTCGCTACTGATAACATTAAGACAGCCCCCACAGTACTGTATTAAAAATCTTATTTTCTTTGTTTGGCTTCCCCTAACCCCCAGCTTTGCATTCGAATTCTACTTTTATGTAAACCCCATTGTGCCTGCGTAGTATGATTAAGAATGTTGTTGACATAATTTGTATGAACTCCCTACTTGTAAACCCCTTTAAAAGTAACTTGCCTGCCTGCCCTTGGCAAGCAGTCTTGGTAGTAGCATCTCTGACTGACTCCTTTTCGTTGTACATTGAAGTAAATGTGCCTTTCTTGTTCTTCCACCTCGGTCTCTCATTTATTGGCCAATACGAGTCATGTGGAGCAAGAACCTGGGATTTCCACCTGGTAACAACATGTCCAAAGTATGTGAGATGAAGTCTTGCCATCCTCACTTCTAATGAGCATTCTGGCTGTACTGCTTCCAAGACAGATTTGTTTGCTCTTCTGGCAGTCCATGGTATATTCAATATACTTCCCCAATACCATAATGCAAAGGCATCAATTCTTCTTTGGTCTTCCTTACTCATTGTCCAGCTTTCACATGCATATAAGGTATTGAAAACACCATGACTTGGGTCAGGCACACCTTAGTCCTTAGAGTGACATCTTTGCTTTTTAACACTTTACAGAGATCTGTTGCAGCAGATTTGCCCAGTACAATGTGTTGTTTGATTTTTTGACTGCTGCTTCTGTGGGGGTTGATTGTGGATCCAAGTAAAATGAAATCTTTGACAACATCAATCTTTTCTCCGTTTATCGTGATGTTGCTTATTGGTCCAGTTGTGAGGATTTTTCTTTTCTTTATGTTGAGGTGTAACCCATAATGAAGGCTGTAGTCTTTGCTCTTCATCAATAAGTGCTTCAAGTCGTCTTTACTTTCAGCAAGCAAGGTTGTGTCATCTGCATATTCCAGGTAGTTAATGAGTCTTCCTCCAATCTTGATGTCACATTCTTCTTCGTATAGTCCAGGTTTTCTGACTATTTGCTCAGCATACAGATTGAATAAGTATGGTGAAAGGATACAATGCTGACACACACCTTTCCTGATTTTAAACTTTGCAGTATCCCCTTGTTCTGTTCAAACCACTGCCTCTTGGTCTAAGTATGGGTTCCACATGAGCACAATTAAGTGTTCTGGAATTCCCATTCTTCCCAATGTTATCCATAATTTGTTATGATCCACATCATCAAATGCCTTTGCGTAGTCAATAAAACACAGGTAAACATCTTTCTGGTATTCTCTGCTTTCAGCCATGATCCATCTGACATCAGCAGTGATGTCCTTTGTTTCGTGTACTCTTCTGAATCTGCTTGAATTTCTGGCAGTTCCTTTCAAACTTCAACAAAATTCTTACATGTGATATTAATGATATTGCTTGATAATTTCCGTGTTCTGTTGGATCACCTTTCTTTGGAATGGGTGCAAATATGGATCTCTTCCAGTTGGTTTGCCAGGTAGCTGTCTTCCAAATTTCTTGACATAGACGAGTGAGCGCTTTCAGTGCTGCATCCGTTTGTTGAAACATCTCAGTTGGTATCTGTCAATTCCTGGAGCCTTGTTTTTTGCCTTCAGTATGATCAGTTCTTGATCATATGCTACCTCCTGAAATGTTTGAATGTCAGCGAATTCTTTTTGGTACAGTGACTCTGTGTATTCTTTCCATCTTCTTTTGATGCTTTCTGCATCGTTTAGTATTTTCCCTGTAGAATTCTTCAATATTGCAACTTGAGGCTTGAATTTTTTTTCCAGTGCTTTCAGCTTGAGAAGTGCTGAGCGTGTTCTTCCCTTTTGGTTTTCTATCTTCAGGTCTTTGCACATTTCATTGTAATACTTTACTCTGTCTTCTAGAGCCGCCCTTGGAAATCTTCAGTTCAGCTCTTTTATTTCTTTTCTTCCTTTCAATTTAGCTTTACATTACATTACATTTAGCTTTAGCCTTACATTATAGCCTGGGCACATGACGATTTAAAAAATTATTTGTGTAAGCAGGACATATTATCTATGACTTTTGTTTCAAGAAGTTTAATGAGCATTATAAAATATTATATAAAAACATGGTTTGGTAGGGCTGAGAGTTACTGGAATTTGTTTAGTGTCTGGATTTTTCCTTCTGTGCTTATTTATCTGCATATAGATGATAGATGTGCTGCTGTTGTTAGTTGCCATAGAATCTGCTCCGACTCATGGCAACTTTATGTATAACAGAGCAAAATGTTGCCTGATCCTGTGCCATCTTCACAATCATTGGTATGTTTGAGACCATTGTTGCAGATGTTGTGTCAATCCAATTCATTGCTGGTTTCCTTCATTTTTGCTGACCCTTCACTTTACCAAACATGATGTCTTTTTCCTGATGACATGTCTAAAGCAAGCAGGCTGATGTCTCACCATCCTGATTTCTAAGGAGCATTCTGGTTATATTTCTTCTAAGACTGATGTATTGTACTTATCTTCATGTTTACTCTTTCTGTTGTTCTTTCTTCCCTCCTGATGTTCCAAGGTTACATTTTAAAAAATAATTTGTTTTCTGTTTAGAAGACTTCTTTTAACCTTTTTTTTAAAAAAAATTTTTTTTTAGGGTATGCCTGCTGGCAACAAATTCTCTTAGTTTTCCTTCATTCCAGAATGTCTTGATTTCTCCTTCATTCCTGAAGGATGGAACCCTGGTGGCACAGTGGTTAAGAGCTGTGGCTGCTAACCAAAAGGTCAGCAGTTCAAATCCACTAGCTGTTCCTTGGAAACTCTATGGCACAGTTCTACTCTGTCCTACAGGGTTGCAATGATTCGGAATCAACTCGATGACAACCAGTTCAGTTCGGTTCCTGAAGGATACTTTTGCTGGATATAAGATTCATGGTTGACAGTCCTTTTCTTTTAGCATTTGAAAAATGTTGTGCCACTTCTTTTGGCTTCTGTGGTTTCTGATGTGAAATCTGATGTCACTGGAGGTGTTTCTCTCTTGGTGTTTTCAAAGTTTTTTCTTTCTCTTTGGTTTCCAGACATTTAATTATGATGTGTCTTGGCATGGATTTCTTTGGTTTATTTTGCTTGGAATTCACTCAGACTTTTGAAGATAAGTACAATACATCAGTCTTAGAAGAAATATGTCTTTTCACAAATTTGGAAAAATCTTCATCCATTATTTCTTTGAATACTTTTTTAGCCCTGCCCTCTTTTCTCCTCCTGAGACTCCAATGATACAAATATTGGATCTCTTGTTATAGTCTCACAGGTCCCTGAGACTGTTCTTTTTTTTTTTTTTTTGAATCTATCTTTTCTCTGTTGTTTAGATTCAGTAATTTCTATTGTTCTATCTTCAAGTTCACTGATTTTTAACTCAGTTTCTACCATTCTTCTGTTGAGCCCATCTGTTGAGATTTTATCTTGGTTATTGTATTTTTCAGTTCTAAATTACATTGGTTCTTTATATCCTTTTATTATTATTATGCTTCAGGTGAAGGTTTACAGAGCAAATTAGCTTCCCATTCAATAGTTTATACACAAATTGGTCCATGACATTGGTTGCAATCCCTGAAATGTGTCAGCACTCTCCCCATTACCACCCTGAGCTCCCCATTTCCATTCGTCTAGTTTTCCTACTCCTTCTTGCCTTCTCATCTTTACTTTTGGGCAGATGTCCCCCTTTTGGTCTCATATAGATAATTGTTCCAAGGAGTAGTTTCCTTACTGGTGTTATTGTTTATTTTATAGGTCTGTTTATAATTTGGCTGAAAGGTAATCTCCGGGAATAGCTTCAGTTCCAAGTTAGAAGTGTGTCTAAGGGCCATAGTCTCCGTAGTTCCTCCAGTCTCTCTTGGACCAGTAAATCTGGTCTATTTTATGAATCTGAATTTTGTCCTACATTTTTTTCCCCACTCTAACCAGGACCTTCTATAGTGATCCTGGTCAAAGTGGTCAGTAGTTGTAACCAGGTACCATCTAGTTCTCCTTGTCTCAGGCTAACGGAAGCTGTGGTTCCTGTGGTCCATTAGTCCTTTGGACTAATTGTTTCCTTGACTCTTTCATTTTCTTCATCTTTGTATCTTCTTTTTCTTTGCTCAGACTTCCTATTTTTTCATTTGTTTAAGCTGTGTTTGTGATTTCTTATTGAAGCATGTTTATGATGTTTGCTTTAAAATTTTTGTCAGGTAATTTTAACATCTGTGTCATTTTGATATTTATTAGTATCTGTTGATTGTCTTTTATCACTTAAATTGAGAGCTTCCTGGTTCTTGGTATGATGAGTGATTTTCAGTTGAATTGTGCACATTTTTGGTTTTATGTTTATGAGACTCTGGATTTTTAAAAAGTCTTGTTTTAGCAGGGCTACTCTGACACTGTTTTGGCAGGAGAAGGGGAGACGCCACCTTGTTCCTGTCAGGTGGGGTGGAAGTCCAGGTTCCACTT